GAGCCACAGAATTCGTTTTGGCATCGTTGGATAGAGAATTGAAAAGTCGATTCAGTCGTAACAACGTGAGTGAGGAAATTCGAGTAGTTTTGACCGAGAAAGCGAAATTTAAATATCAGACTACGTGCAAGATTATGCTAAAATTCCATGTTTTCCGCCCCGCTTTTGCTCATATCTCGGAGGCGGAGGTGCCATAGTGATTCTCTGATTAACCGACGATTAGTTTGCGACGGTGCAACGCATTTTTTTTTAAACTCCGGTTAAGATATAATCAGTGTTTAGCTAATCAGTGTTTAAAGCGAAAACGTTGCAACCGTGGAGTGGACGCCAGCCCCCTCTAGTGAGCGTTACCGACACCTGATGCATTCGCATTGCTGGTTGCCTATGGGCAACCAACCAATCTACAAGTTACCGATAAAAGTCAGGATAGTGTTTAGCTAGTTTGTGCCTTGATGTCAGGTTTACTCAATAAAGTAACTGTTTCAGTACAAAATGGATGTATAGTTTTTGGCAGCGCTGGCGGCCACCAGCAATGGGGGGGGGTGAAATATGGCGCACCAATAGAGAAGACAAACAGACAGCGTTAAAAAACGTTTCTTTTGTCCTTTAAAATTTGTGGTATCAAGTGATTATTTTGCAATAAAAAACTCTGCTTGAACTTTGATGACAACTGTCACTGTCATTCTAACAGGACAAAGGAAACGTTTTTTAACGCTGTCTGTTTGTCTTCTCTATTGGTGCGCTATATTTTACCCCCACCATTGCTAGTGCGCGCCAGCGCGCGCCATCTGTTGAGTCGATCGCGTCAGATTAGTCAGAAGGTCGGCAAGGTTTGCATCAATTGTCACCAAAGTCAAATTCGGTGCGTCACATTTGCCTCCTCTCCACGATTAGAGCCAATAATGATGTTGACGTAAACTGAACTTTCAGTGTTGTAAAACAAAACGAAAAATTTGGCCGAAAACGACAAAAAAAAATTTGTGTGGCAAAAGTTGGAATTTTATTGACCAGTCCCGGTAGATCCTAGACTTGGGCGCCGCCGCTAGAATGACGGGGGGCGCCGTGCCGGTGTGCCTTATGCTGCGTCGCGGTGCGCGCCAGTCGTTGCCGCGCCGCCAGCGACGTTGCCACACCGGCGCCGACGCCGTGCACACCCGACGTCGACGACACGCGCCGCACATGATCTAGCCGAATTGTTTTTGTTTTCGGGCGCCGTTTTCGTTGTTAGTCCGCAATTTGCCAGTTGATCAAAAGCCAGTTTATGTAGGATTCCCTAGATTTAACTCTTAAGGTTTGTATCATTTTACTAGCTACTACTGGTGATGGTTTGAAGGGCGAATTCCCGAAAAAAGTATCAACTTGCACGAAAAAAAATTGACAAAAATTCAGAAACGCACGAGCAAAAAAATCGACGGTATGGTTTGCACAGCCACCCGTCAGACCTGCACTATTTACATCACAAATTCATCCAAGAAACGCGTGGCAGAAGCGATAAGCGCGATGAGATACGTTATCTTTCACTGTTGTCAAATATGCCAAAGATCATCTCGTAATAGTCTGGCGGAAACTGCGATCCACCACACCCTGCCGGCTGGATGCAAGCGAAACGTCGCCTCGCCAAATGAGTGATCGGAATGTGCAAAGTGCAATTTGTGAGCAGGTTTTTCCGCTGCCTGGACGCCCTGAAGTTAGGTATTGTTGTTTTTGTTGTTGTTGTTCACTCATTGAATCACGCTGTCAAAACAGTGACAGCAAACGCCAAAAAAAATTGACAGTTGCTTGAACGCCTGTCAAAGCGACGGCTCCTGCCAGTGGGTATCGAGCTCAAAGTGTGTCATTCGGGACTTTTCACCTTGCCAGTTCCACTCGAATCGGCTGCTTGAACTTCAAGGTGAAGTTTATGAATTATTAACGCGTGTCACCACAAATAACCGCTTTTATCGTGTAATATGCTAAATGTTTCGCAAATATTACGTTAAACCGAGCAGTGGGCACAAATCCGGGACGCTACGCCCCTGATACGGCGCCAATCACCCTGTATATGGACGTTGACGGAAAAAGTCAAACAAACCCAATGCAAACGCGATGATGAACATGTTGAATCACAGATTTAAAAAAGTGATGTAGTTCCAGTGGCTGTTGACTGTTGGTTACAGCCACTTCCTGGCTGTTTTCGATGCAATCGCTAACTGAGCGCTGTTTTTCTGTTTCAGATTAGGCCAGTATTCCCAGTCCGCCCAGGACGCCAGTATAGGTTAAGCGAAAAGTCGGGAACATCGCAGGATTTTGACGAGTTTTCAATAGTGCGCGCGCGTTATTCGAAAACTTACCGATATTGACAGTTGGACAAGCGACAGGACACTGCAAGCTGACAGCGGCGGTTTAGATCGGGATTCTTATGGTTTTCATGGTGAGTTTTTGCAAAATCACTTTCAACCTGTCACTGTTTTGTGCGAGGAGCGGCTAATTGTAGCCCCCTTGGAATACATTGTTGCCAGATTTCAGCTGATTTGAGGCGTTATTATAGAAAGAGAGAGAGAGAAAATGAGAAAGATAT